TGCTATTGGTAGGATGTGTTATTCGAGATGCCCCTAGTTAATGTTGCCAGCAAGCTCTCAACTCATTGATGTTTGGCCGCCATTTGATAAAATTGGGCCAACCTTACATGATCTTCTTTCTACAACTCCTTCCATAGCTCAATTTGAGACTTGATTCCAATGATCAGTAGAGTCCAAATTGATTTTTCGAGAGCATCCACAACTTTAGTTTGCTCATTCTGGAACCTCGTTAAATACAGGGTCAAGGATTCATCATCCTCTTGGTGAATATTACTCAAATAGCTAAATGGCATGGCAAACTGTCTCCTCGCCTGGAATTGCAAAAGATACAACGAGGAAAACTACTGCCAAGAATGAATTGAGTCCATTTTAAGCCTCTTGTACCACAGTTTGGCATCTCCTACTAATGTTACAGCGAAGCAGGGACACTTCACAAAATTAGAGATCTGATGCAACTCCATCAAATTGTTGAAAGTGTCTACATGGTCTCTAGGGTCTCCTTTCCCGTCAAACTTGTGCTTTGGCGCCCTAAATCCCTGAGGAAGTGGTGCTTGACGAACCTCCTCTGTAAATAGAGAACTGACTACCCCATCCGCCTGGTTATCTTGGCGGGCTCTTAGGTTATCGAGCATTCTTTATACTTGATCTAGTTCTGCATTACCTGGAAGGTTCTATTCTCAGGCTCTGTTTGCTCTCAATTTGAGGAGTTGAGTCTTGAGGTCGGTTGATTATGACCCTAATATGTCCTATGCACTCGTGCGCAAAGTGGAATCATGGAAACTGGGGTAGTACGTATTGTCGTACTTCTCAGTTTCTTGTCTACGACATTGGTTAAAAATCGAAACGTTGATTTTTGCTGCCAAACTAGCGTGCATGACTTCCCTCGTGTGAGCAAAGGATGAGCTTACCTTTGGCTTGGGTTAATGATAAGAGCTTAAAAATACATTTTTTGTTAGTGATTTAATTGGATTATTTGTGGAAAAATGTGTTTTTAATGTGAAATTTGAATTAATTATTTCATAAATACATTTTATGGGATCATGGGTGTATAAGTATTTTCAGGTTAAAAATGATATTTGAATGAAGAATAATGATGTCGATGGAATTCATGACGAGTAGGAACAAACGGTGCAAGAATCGGAGTTGAAACAAGAAAGTTGTGACGCATTGTTGTGACGCATTGAGATACGACGTAAAACCTGGAAATCCTTCAAGATGGGCATGCTTTGATATTTCGATCATAACTTGAGCTATAGAAATCAGAATTAGATGATTCTTATGGAGTTGGAAAGCTTATTCAGAGAGCTATAAAGTTCATGTTGATGACTTTGTCAAATTCTGAAGATTCCAGACTCGTGGGATAGAAAGAATGATAGCTGCAGCGACCGTTTCTGATCACCTCAACGATGGGTTAGGAGCCTGTTTGGGTTATTATATTCTCCTAGTCCGAATCTGAATGGTTTAAGGCATTTAATTTTTTTCTAATTAACCTCCAAACCATAGCACTATAAATAAGGGTCTTTAATTAGTTTTTAAGGAGATTAGAAAAGGAGAAAGAGTGGCTACTATTTTGGAGATCGGAATTCTTGCAGTTCTCGTTCACCAATTAGAGAAGTTTTTCTATTTTTCTTTCTTGAGCTCATGTTTGTTAATACAATGGTTGTTTTTATTACTGTAATTATGAACTAAATCCCTTTTCTAAGGCTAAAGATGTAGCCCAATTTATGAATATGTGTTGACGTTATTGTTGTTGATTTTAAATTGAGCATTAATTCTAAGTTTTATTGTTGTGTGTAATGCTTTCAATTCTTAAGGGCCCGAGAGTTGAATGACTTTATGGGTTAGGTTGAGATCGAGAGATGAAACCTGATTAGTCTAAGGTAATAAAATCATAGATTAAGCGAACGCTAGAGATAGGTTACCGCGATCTGTGAGGCTCTAATAAATTTCATAGAACTTAATGATCTCTTAGCTTCTAAATCCAACTTAGAGATATTTTGGGTTGTTGCTTAAGGGTTAATTCGCTAATTGTTCGAGAGAAAGTTAGTGGAATATTAGGGAGTTTGGGCTTTAGAATAAGCTTAATTAGGTTAGCAATAATTGTCAATGCATAGGATTAAATTGGTGTAAAATTTGTGCCCTAGGTTTAGTCATATTGATCTTTTTACCAAAGTATTAATAAAATTATGTTTTTGTTTAGTTTTTAGTTTGTTTTATTTTTCATTAAATTCATTCTTAAAATTTTGTTTCATCAAATAGCAATAAAATAGACTAGTTTGGTACTTGGTAAGTAGTTCTCTTGGGATTCGACACTCGTTTACTCGAGCTTTACAACTTGCGCGATTTCGTACATTTGCAAATAGCCTATCAATTAAGACCGAAATGTTGTTGTTGGGTGTTTCGCTGTTCAGGACAAACATTTTCATGGCAACCATTATCTTTGTTTTCCCCCTTAGGTTATTTCTTTGGTCGCCTTCCAAGATTAGTCTATCCCAAACTTCGTGCTCGCGGGCAGAACATGCCCTTCCTCGTCGGGGATGACGATTATTTCTAGTTGCTAACGAACCATATTGGTCGACAACTAGCATATTTTCCCCGCTTAGGGTAGGCTTGGTGAAGACTGACTGATCGAGATTTGGGTTGACTTGCTGCATTTTCTTCAACCCGCCACATCTTGTTGCATTATCTACATAACATTGGTTAACGACCTCATCATATATATTAATTGACCGCATTCTGGGTCAGAAGTTCCTGCCCTTGCTGATTGACGACTTATTGCAGTAGCACATGTGGTAAGCGACTCTGAATGGCGGCCTGGTTCACTTCCTAGTGAACAATGTCCATGTTATGGTGGCTTTTGACGGCTGCTCTGGATGCTCTTGTACGGGCCATAAGGAATTTCAGGTGATCGGATTTACTGTCGGAATTACCTTTTGCTGGGAATAGAAGAGCTTGTCGGGAACCCTCCTTTTAGTGCCAAAATGTTGATACCAAAAAAGGCACCAACCAGAGAGATCTAATTGACCGTGTTAGAATCGGAATGGATGTGCGCGTGATTAATTAAAATCAGCAATGAAATGTGAAACAAGCAAAAAGTAAGTGGAAATGACACAAGAGATTTTTAAAGTGGTTCGGTGAGTTAATTCTCAAACCTATGTCCATTGTTTATATTGTTCTTCTTTTATTGAATACAATATGCTCTCTCTCTCTCTCTCTCTCTCTCTCTCTCTAATAAAACTCAACCAATGTAATTTATACAGAAATTTCGAAATGGTAAATGAAATAAATATGGGATTTCAATCATATCCGGTATATATCCCATGAATTTCGTGATTGTGCGCCAAAGTCGAGCTAAAGCCTAAAAGGATATTGGCAATATCCTCTCTGAGATATCAAGAGATCTAGACTTATATTTTGAGCTATTGGACAGCTGTTACGACGAGGTTCGTTTTAATTGAGCTCTATCCTCTTGCGAACTTTAGATCACCGCGAGCTTTAGTTTCACGAGCTATTGACATTTCTGAGCTTACAGCAAAATCATGCACAACAGACGCCAAAAATGTCATCAATTTCAGATAAATCGATGATGTTGGTAATATCATTGGACATATCATTAGAGATTGTCGGTGACAATCATTGTTAATGATGATTCAACGACTGTGTTAATAGTTCTGACATTTGGTTGGCAATAATTATTTTAGTTTTGAATTTTTTTATTAAATAATTTAAGTACTAGTTTATTAAATTAATCAATATAAATTTAAATGGCATTTTCTATATTATCTTGGGGGCATTTATAACGTTTTATTATAGGGAAATGTTATATTAACGGAAAAATATATCACCTTGAAGATTAATAGGAATGTTTAGGAAATATTTTGATTGGTTTGAATAAATTGGTGAATAATATATTTGGTTGGGATGATTAATGGGTGGGTATGTTATATAGATTACTAAATTGCCCTTTTTTTTTAATATTAATATAATATTATTTTTTCGATCATTTCTTTTAACCCCCTACATTTGAAATTTTGCTAAAGTACATCAGCCATATAAAACTTTAATTTGTAGCAAAATCACCCTCACCCACCACAAGCCACTGTCGATAACTAGCCACCATTGTTGGCCGCCACTGGTAGTCGACGAAATGGCACTTGAATGGCTGTAAATGGCCAGTCATGCGCCGACAAAGCCATTTCCAGCCATGGATAATAAATCCAAACGCCAGATCTATGGTCATTTCACTGCCAAAGATGTGGTTGTGAAACAGTCATAAAAAAGGCTAGATCTGGCCGTTTCTGGCCATGGTTTGTACTGTGCATGATCGGCCAGATCTCGTCGATCATGCGCCATTATATCGACTGATGCTGGTAGCCGACAGTCCTGAGTAACGGCCAGCGATGATCTTGGGTGCTTAGGGGTATTTTGTTAACTTTTAAACTTTTTGCGACTAGGGTGTTTTAGCTAATTTCTCAAATGTAAGGGGCTGAGTAATTATTATTTGGTAGACATTTGAGGGTAATTGTGTCTAAAATGGTATTTAATTAAGGACAAAATAGATATAAAAATCAGATTACCCGGTAATCTTTCAATAACACCCTTGGGAGAGGGTATCGAATTACCTCCTACATTACCAACAGTAAACACTATTTACAATAAAAGATACTCGTAATATTATATTACTTGTAAACCAAACACTGGAATCTTATAAAATGCAAAGATTACCCCGTTATCTTATATGCCCCAATCCAAACGCATTCTTCCTATTGTATAAGTATAAATCTGCTTAAGAAATAATGTAATTTTGAAAATTTACTTTAAAAGTATGCTTATCAAAGACGGTTATAATTATTATCCCAAATGCACCCTTCAACAATATTTGCTGTGACCAATCTATATCTTACAATTGTAATCGTGAATGCAGTCTCCTCCTGGCAACCAAAGCCAAACTCTCTTGCGCTTACCGACATCTGCCCAACTGGGGAGACCTCCTAGGCCGCCACGCGTCAGAGCCACACACAGACACAGCACCACTCCCCAGCATTCGTCACCCTATCATTCCCCTTCTTCTCACTCCTGTTCCACACTAACCTAATGCCCATTATCCAATAATTACATATTACAATAGCAACAAAGGTAAGTGATTATCTCCTACATACCATACCATTCTCTTACCATGGACCTCTCTTCTCACTCTCAAACCCAAAATCACCATCAACCTCAGCAGCTCCCGGAAACGGCCGTATCCAATCTATCAGGAGTTTCACCATTGAGGAAAGAAGTTGCGGGGGTGCAAATTAAAGAGGCGGGTGGGCCCCACCTGGGCCAGCAACAGTCGAGCGCATACTATCCGGCATTGAACCCAGCGGTCGGAGCTGCGGTGGTGGCTTTGTCAAAACTGGCACAGTTCTCGGGAACGATGGATGCAGCGGAGAGGGCGTTGGCCAGGTTGCATGCCATGGTTAGGCCGAGTCCATTGCTTTCGTTGGTATGCACTTTGTTTTAAGCCCTTTGTTTAATTATCTTATTCAGCCTTGTATTATAAACAGGATTGTTTTTCTCCCTGGGAAGGGAGAATCCACGTGGTAATTTTCTCTTATGTTTTTCATAACTCCTTAAACTCTCTCTTCAACCTAAAAAATGTGTTAGTGCTCTGTAAATAGCAGGAATAGTAAAGAGCACCATACTTTAGTAAGATTGAAAGTTAGTATGTTATTCTATTGCTACTATGTGAATCCTTCAAATCAGAAAACTTGATGAGATTCTGCCAATAACTTCACTAGTCCTTCTTAGATGATTTTAGAAGATGCGTGTGGGATAAAAGGATGGTCTTGACCAAGAGAAGCCCGAGGAGATGGGCGTGTGGTCGGCGGTCATAGTTTTCCACTTGTAAAACCTTCTGAGACCATCTCTGTGAGGGCTAGCAATCCTTCATGGAATTTCTTTTTAATAATTTATTGAATCTTTGGTAGAATTATTTATTAGTATTAAATTAGGGCGTTAAAAAAAACTGAAGCAAATGTGAAGGTAATTCAATTGTACATCACCATTAAAAATAACAATGAAAAATGACATTTTTAGCTAATAAACTTAATTAAAATTGAGACCCAATCAAAAAAGTGATATGGAGCATTTGAAAGAAGAAAAAAATTCTTTGAATTGGAAGGGAAACAACTTATTCTTCTTCCTTGCACTTTAGAGTAATAGAAGAGTTCTTGAATGCAGAGCTATTGTTACCTCCCATTTTCAAATAAAGCAATTTATTGCTCATGCAACCAGTAGTTCTTGTAATGGTAATATTTGAACATATTAATGGTTTATATAAGTTTAAAATGGCTTCAAATAGGTATGAAATTGAGCCCTGTTTTGAAATGGGCAATGAAGAGTGAATGGCATTGGTAGGATTTTATTATTCTCTGTTTCAAGCACTTAACCTGATTTTGCAACCATTCCCTGTTCATTTACCCATTTCAAGCACATAACAGGATTTGACGCCCATTCTAACACATTCTAAACTTATGTAAACCACTTATCTGTCTGAACATAATTACAGCAACAACTGCTAGTGGAATGAGTAAGGAAGAATGTTCTTTGAATTTGGGAGGCACCACTTGTGTAGTCTTCAAGAAGTCTTTTGTTATTTTGAAGTGATGAATAATTTCTTTCCTCTGCACTTTAAAGTAATATCTCTTAACTCTAAGCTTTTCTTTCAAATGCCACATGTTACTCAATGAGTGGGCCACATAAATTTTTAAGGTTTACTCTAACTTCTATGCGTAGGTCATACATGGGTCTTACTTTTGACTAAGCTGACTGTACTAAATGTTATGACGTTACAAAGATGACCTCTTTCATTGTTATCTTTATAATTACATGACAATTTTCAGTGAGTTTCAAGTCTTCTGAGTTTTTTGCTTAAGGTTTTGCAAACTAGTAACACTAAATTGATAATGATGATTGGACACCAATATTTGAGTAGTTGGTAAAGATTCAATATGTCAACCACAATTAGAAGTTAGAGAGAGGTTTTTTTTTTTTTCAGTTGAAGCACGTAGTGTTAAGTGTGAACTTCTTTAGTTGATTGGCATTGGCTTGGTGGCTGCCATTTTAATCTGGTTAAGCAACTATGTAGCATAAGTAAATGTGAAAGTTAAAATATGTGTAGTGCTAGCCTTTCAATTGGACTGAGTTGAGCTTTTTCAATTGGAAATGATCTGTGATATGAACTCAGCATAAATAGGATGAGCTTATTCAATATGTCAGCATTATTCTTCATTTTATTCCCTCTTGGTTGTAGGACTCTTTATTGATATCTTACTCTCTGTATGAGTTAATTTCTAATTTAAGAACGACTTTCCAGTACATGTTCAACCCATTGTTGTGTGTCTTTATTTATGTATTTTTGTATGTTTCTCTAGATTTAAACCATGTGCCTGCTGGAGCTTTTAATACTCTTACAAAAATTTTGAAACCTATTTTGTAGGATAGTCAGTTTCCCTGCAAGGGAGGTGGCAGACGAGGTGGTGGTCATGAAAGGCTTGGCCACCATAATTCTTCAACTTTTTTATCGAAGAGTCATAGTCGAGGTAGTGGTAGCAGTGGTCCTAAACGCTTCTCACCACGTGGTGAATTGTCAACATCTTCACGTCCTGAATCTTCTGCTGCTCAAGAAGCAGGATTGAAAAATGAAAATGCAGAGCCCCCAACTGATGCACCTGAAAAAGCAGTTGAATTGCTACCAGAGTCATCACTTTCTGCTGCACCAGAGAAGGTAGTGCTACGACCCACAAAGGCTGCATGGTGTGAATTTTGTAGAGTTAATTGCACTAGTTTGGAAATTCTTGAACAGCACAAGAATGGAAAGCGGCATAAGAAGAACTTGCAAAGGACTGAGGAGTTGAGAAAAATTGTCAAAACAATCACTGAAGTACAGAATGAACAAGAACCTGTGGCTGAGTCAAAGATCGAAGTGCCTCAGCATCAAAAGTTTGCTCAGGGTGGTCAAGAGAATGATTCAGCAGGAAATATAGGTACTGAAACCATACTTGATAAAAATAAAATGGAGGCTGATAATCAAAACAATGCAGAGGAACAATCTGAAGTTCCTGCAAAGGAGTCTTCTGATTTGCAAGCTGGGAAGCCTAGGATGGATTCTGATAATTGGAGGTGTGGAGTGAAATGGAAGATGAGAGGTGGTCGGGGAGGAAAGTGGATGAAAATGTTTGGAAGTTCAAGGCAACCAATGGAACCTCCCATTTCCCAAACCTAAAGTGTAATTCCGCTAATATGTGACTTGTGCAATGTTAAATGTGACACGCGGGAAGTTTTTGACCGCCATCTTTCTGGTAAAAAACATATTGCTAAGCTTAAAAGGTTTGAAGGTCACCAAGCTATGTATGGCCCTATGGGTTACCCTCCTAACCCAATTGCTCAAACTCTTACCATTCTCAAGGACATCATCAGCCACCGGTTTATGGTTCTCAGGGCTTATTTCCTCCATCTTGTCCTTACATGTCTCCACAAACTCATCGAGCTGCAGTCGAATCAAGTGGCATGGATAATGTATTTCAACAGTATCCCATGTATCAAGCAGAATCCGCCACTGAATCTGGTGGTCACAATACTGGTCTAGTGGTTATAGAAACTCAGCAACAGGTAGCGACAGTAGAACTGGAGATCAGACAACCTTCTACAACATAGGCAAATTCTAATTTGATCTCATCGTCTGAAGTTTATTGGTTTGCCCTCCAGAAGATACCCGCCCTGAATGGAGTAATTAACTTCCAGAATCCAGTTATATCACCTTCTCTTAGACATCCATCAAATGCGGGGCTGGATGGCTTTATTACTTTTTCCTTTGTAAATGAACTTTGTACCCTTAGGCTCCGGAAAAGATTGATGGTTCAATTTTATTGGTAGCTAAGTGAGAGTTGCTTGGGTAGTTTTATAGTTAATATTCTGATTTGTGCATCCCATTATTGAACAAGAACTACGCCTACTAATCACCGTAAAATCTGTTTGAAATGCGTGCTTGGGTAGTTTTATGGTTAATATTCTGATATGTGCATTCCATTATTGAACAAGAACTACGCCTACTAATCACCGTAAAATCTGTTTGAAATGTGTGCCAAAATAAAATCCTGGCAACATGGTGTGGGCGGGTCCCATTAGTTGCTCTCGTGGCTTTTTTTTATTTTTTTAATGATTAGAATGTTGGATTGGTTTACGTATATTTTAATTAATCTTTAGGTATATTTCAATTAATTTTATAGGATCCTAAAATTATTGACTGTGTAAGATTTATTAATAATTGAAAAGAAACTTAAACTTAAGATCTTTTAAGTAATATATCCAAGAATTTTTATCGAATTATTTGACTACTCAAAAATAGTTACTCCTGTCATTTAGGTATACTCCGTATTTGTTTAGAAGAAACATTTTCAATTGAAAAGTGAAAATTCATTATTAAATTGAGTTAATCATTAAATTTGATAAGTTTGTTATAATAACAAAATTGTCAAAATTTTGATTGTGCTTGATTGACATTGAATTTTAGGGTCTACTGGGGAGTTTTTTTCCATTGGTTTTGAGGAGTTTTTAATTAGATTGGATTTGAGGTGTTTTAAAACTATTACTTGTCAGATTTTTTATACATTGGTTTTGATTAGCTCAAAAACTCCCAGAATCAGTATAGTGTATTTTTTAGGAATGTATAAAACACTCCAAATCGGGGTGTTTTAGTTAGTTTTAAACTTTTATTCTACAAATACCATATCCACTACAAAACTATCCTAATTATATCCAAAAAAAATTAATCATATTAAATATAAAATAATTTTAAGCAATCATAAAAAAAAAAAAAAAATATTAAAATCTCATTTCTAGATACTTTCTTGGAGAAGTAGGGTTACAATTTTTCAATCATTCTAGATGTTACAAAGAATAGTAAAGAAGTATAATGAGACTTTATCAAATCTGAAGTTACAAAATACTAATAAGTATAAAACAAATAAAGAACCCTTGCCTTGTAATTGAAAAAACAAAACTCCAAGTTGAGGTATTTTTATGGGCATATATGTAAATTTATTATTTTAAAAAACTATTAGAACTGCTGGAAATTAAACTCTTAAGCACAAGTTTGGTATTTTAAAAACCGTCACTAAAAACCCCTCAAAACCGCTACGATAATTTATCCTCGAAACCGCTACGATGGTTTATGCTCATAACCGTTACCATGAAACTCCTAAGTGGACTCCTAGGTATTAACAAATTAATAATGATACTAAAATAAATGATAAGATAATAATTTAATAATATTTATTAACTCATAAGAATATAAATTACAACAATTTATTTTATACAATTTATTCATAAAATAATACCGACAAGGAAATTTTTGTTATTTTATTATACTTTAAATTTATGTTTTAACTTTTATTAAATTAGGCAAATACTTACTATTGGAAAAATAGTTTTACTTATATTTGAAGATTAGAGATTTTGTTTTGGTAAAAGTAATTTCCTAATCTCAACAAAAGAAAGAAGGGGTTGTAATTTTATTTCTTTAGTTTCACCCTTCCATCAATTGGTTCCTATATTTTACAAATTGAAGCTATATTAAAAATAGCTCCTCCATTTTTATTCTTCTTAAAAGAAAATAAAAATATTTGGGAGGAAAAAAAAAGGAGAACGACTTGCACATACCTAAGGTTTGCCGTAACGATAAAGTGGTGCCCCAAAGGTTTTGAAACGACAAATAGGTAACTTCCGTCATGTGCTGTTAGTGATCTCCGTTTGATAATCGTGAAAAGACTAGAATGCCCTTGAAAGTTTGATGTTTTAGATTTTTATAAATTTCAAAATTTCTAAAAAAAACCCCTAGATTTGCTAATTTAACTAAACACACCAACATATAAAAATTTTATAAAATAACAAAAATACCCCCACCACCCGTAATGCCAGATTCCGGCCACCATTGTTGGAATCTGACCGGAAAATTGCGTTACAACATAGACCCATCGGATCTGTGTCGTAACGCGTCGATCTAGCCTTTTCCGGCCAGATCTACGTCCAGATCTGGCCGTCGAGAGTTTTGCAGCTTCGACGGCTAGATCTGGCATTAGATCTAGCCTTTTCCAGCCAAATCCATGGTAAATCTGGTCGGAAAAGACCAGATCTATGTCCAGATCTGGCTGTCGAGAGTTTTGCAGCCTCGACGGCCAGATCTGGCCGTAGATCTGGCCTTTTCCAGCCAGATCGACGCGTTACGACACAGATCCGACGAGTCTGTGTCATAACACAATTTTTCGTCTAGATTTTGACGGTGGTGGCCAGAATTTGGCACTGTGGGTAGTGGGGGTGTTTTTGTTATTTTACAAAAAAATTATATATTGGGGTGTTTGGTTAAATTAGCAAACTTAGAGGGTTTTTTAGAAATTTTTAAATTTATAAAAAACTAAAATATCAAACTTTCAAGGGCATTCTAGTCTTTTCACTATTATCAAACAAAAATCGTTAATAGTACATGATAGAAGGTATCTATTTGTCATTTTAAAACTTTTTGGGTATCACGTGATTCTGGCAAACCTTGGGTATGTATAAGTCCTTCGGCCGAAAAAACAAGAAGTGTAGGAGTTAATGGGGTCAAAAGAGTCAAAATAATTCTTGTTATTGATGGTTGTATAAATTGGGTAGTTTTATGGTTAATATTCTGATATGTGCATTCCATTATTGAACAAGAACTACGCCTACTAATCACCGTAAAATCTGTTTGAAATGTGTGCCAAAATAAAATCCTGGCAACATGGTGTGGGCGGGTCCCATTAGTTGCTCTCGTGGCTTTTTTTTATTTTTTTAATGATTAGAATGTTGGATTGGTTTACGTATATTTTAATTAATCTTTAGGTATATTTCAATTAATTTTATAGGATCCTAAAATTATTGACTGTGTAAGATTTATTAATAATTGAAAAGAAACTTAAACTTAAGATCTTTTAAGTAATATATCCAAGAATTTTTATCGAATTATTTGACTACTCAAAAATAGTTACTCCTGTCATTTAGGTATACTCCGTATTTGTTTAGAAGAAACATTTTCAATTGAAAAGTGAAAATTCATTATTAAATTGAGTTAATCATTAAATTTGATAAGTTTGTTATAATAACAAAATTGTCAAAATTTTGATTGTGCTTGATTGACATTGAATTTTAGGGTCTACTGGGGAGTTTTTTTCCATTGGTTTTGAGGAGTTTTTAATTAGATTGGATTTGAGGTGTTTTAAAACTATTACTTGTCAGATTTTTTATACATTGGTTTTGATTAGCTCAAAAACTCCCAGAATCAGTATAGTGTATTTTTTAGGAATGTATAAAACACTCCAAATCGGGGTGTTTTAGTTAGTTTTAAACTTTTATTCTACAAATACCATATCCACTACAAAACTATCCTAATTATATCCAAAAAAAATTAATCATATTAAATATAAAATAATTTTAAGCAATCATAAAAAAAAAAAAAAAATATTAAAATCTCATTTCTAGATACTTTCTTGGAGAAGTAGGGTTACAATTTTTCAATCATTCTAGATGTTACAAAGAATAGTAAAGAAGTATAATGAGACTTTATCAAATCTGAAGTTACAAAATACTAATAAGTATAAAACAAATAAAGAACCCTTGCCTTGTAATTGAAAAAACAAAACTCCAAGTTGAGGTATTTTTATGGGCATATATGTAAATTTATTATTTTAAAAAACTATTAGAACTGCTGGAAATTAAACTCTTAAGCACAAGTTTGGTATTTTAAAAACCGTCACTAAAAACCCCTCAAAACCGCTACGATAATTTATCCTCGAAACCGCTACGATGGTTTATGCTCATAACCGTTACCATGAAACTCCTAAGTGGACTCCTAGGTATTAACAAATTAATAATGATACTAAAATAAATGATAAGATAATAATTTAATAATATTTATTAACTCATAAGAATATAAATTACAACAATTTATTTTATACAATTTATTCATAAAATAATACCGACAAGGAAATTTTTGTTATTTTATTATACTTTAAATTTATGTTTTAACTTTTATTAAATTAGGCAAATACTTACTATTGGAAAAATAGTTTTACTTATATTTGAAGATTAGAGATTTTGTTTTGGTAAAAGTAATTTCCTAATCTCAACAAAAGAAAGAAGGGGTTGTAATTTTATTTCTTTAGTTTCACCCTTCCATCGATTGGTTCCTATATTTTACAAATTGAAGCTATATTAAAAATAGCTCCTCCATTTTTATTCTTCTTAAAAGAAAATAAAAATATTTGGGAGGAAAAAAAAAGGAGAACGACTTGCACATACCTAAGGTTTGCCGTAACGATAAAGTGGTGCCCCAAAGGTTTTGAAACGACAAATAGGTAACTTCCGTCATGTGCTGTTAGTGATCTCCGTTTGATAATCGTGAAAAGACTAGAATGCCCTTGAAAGTTTGATGTTTTAGATTTTTATAAATTTCAAAATTTCTAAAAAAAACCCCTAGATTTGCTAATTTAACTAAACACACCAACATATAAAAATTTTATAAAATAACAAAAATACCCCCACCACCCGTAATGCCAGATTCCGGCCACCATTGTTGGAATCTGACCGGAAAATTGCGTTACAACATAGACCCATCGGATCTGTGTCGTAACGCGTCGATCTAGCCTTTTCCGGCCAGATCTACGTCCAGATCTGGCCGTCGAGAGTTTTGCAGCTTCGACGGCTAGATCTGGCATTAGATCTAGCCTTTTCCAGCCAAATCCATGGTAAATCTGGTCGGAAAAGACCAGATCTATGTCCAGATCTGGCTGTCGAGAGTTTTGCAGCCTCGACGGCCAGATCTGGCCGTAGATCTGGCCTTTTCCAGCCAGATCGACGCGTTACGACACAGATCCGACGAGTCTGTGTCATAACACAATTTTTCGTCTAGATTTTGACGGTGGTGGCCAGAATTTGGCACTGTGGGTAGTGGGGGTGTTTTTGTTATTTTACAAAAAAATTATATATTGGGGTGTTTGGTTAAATTAGCAAACTTAGAGGGTTTTTTAGAAATTTTTAAATTTATAAAAAACTAAAATATCAAACTTTCAAGGGCATTCTAGTCTTTTCACTATTATCAAACAAAAATCGTTAATAGTACATGATAGAAGGTATCTATTTGTCATTTTAAAACTTTTTGGGTATCACGTGATTCTGGCAAACCTTGGGTATGTATAAGTCCTTCGGCCGAAAAAACAAGAAGTGTAGGAGTTAATGGGGTCAAAAGAGTCAAAATAATTCTTGTTATTGATGGTTGTATAAAAGCGGTGCCACTTCTATCCTCTGCAGAATATCTCAATAAGCGAGCTGAGTTAATCAGGTATTTGACGAGGAGTTACAGTTATGGCCGACCACTCCGATGATTTAGACCAACTTCTCGACAGTATGTTCTTTTATTTGTTTATTTCTTTAATTCTCTCCTGCCCATTATTTCTTAATTCAATTACTTTCAGGTGCTTTGGATGATTTCCAGAATCTCAATCTCACTCCTTCCTCTCAAACTCAAAGGTCTCTTACTTTTTCAATTTTTCCTCTTTTTATATACCTAATTGTACTTGTATCTGTGTTCGCTCCAAAGCCTCTTCCTTTAATCTATACAGCTTTAAATTTCTGTCCTTGGTTCTCAATTTTGCTCAGAAGCTTGACTCTTTTGATTCAAATTTCAAGTTTTTATCTTTTATATCTGACATTTTATACAAGTGGCGGTGTTTTGGTATTAGTATATCTCAATTGGCACTATAGTTTATGTGTATATTTTTATCTAACTCAGGCGACATGATTAGTTTGTATGCTATGTTTATATGTCTTTTCTATATATTACAAGCTTTAAATTCCTCTTTTCTGTATAAGCTTTTTGCTATAAAGTTTCGACCTTTTTGGTTAAAAGAAGATTTAATCTTTTAGCTTTGGTTTGGTTTGCTTGTAGGAGTGGAGAAGGAAATGGCACAGAGAAGAAGCAAGAATTTGGTACTTTGCCATCTGGGATACAAGGGTTGGGGATGGGATTACCTGACTTGAAAACCAAGAAAAAGGGAAAGCAAAAGGTTTCAAAAGATTCCCATGTCACGGAGACTCTTAATAAGCTCAGAGAACAGACGAGGGAGGCTGTGAAAGGATTAGAATCAATGGCACAACCAGGTGGATTTGATTTCGGTAAGGATGCTGTGGTTGATGATTGGGTTAAGCAGTTTGAGGAGCTTGCAGGCTCTCAGGTAATTCTTCAATTTTATCATTATTATTATTATTTTTAATTTTTTGAGTTAATGGTTTTAGTGGTTTTGCTTATAACTAAATTGCAAGTACTGGTCTGAATTTGGTGTTGTTTGTGTTTACGCTGCTTTACTTTTTGGGGGTAATTGCTTGTACAATAAAGAATCTAGACAAGAGTTTTAATGCTTAAAAGCCCTTATGGAATTGGCTTAAGCTGCATATCAAATGCATAGGAGCGATTGAAGGAGAGACTAATTTGCTTGTACCAGTAGCAGGCTAAATTACTTGAACTGCACAAAGTAAAATAGAAAAGGATTAAGTAAGCTTATTATTTAATTGATAATCTTATTGGGGAAGGGGGCATGCTAAATTACTTGAACTGATTAAAGTAAAAAAAAAAAAATAGATGAGTGTAAGTTTATTGTTTAATTGACAACCTTATTGCAAAAGGAGCATGCACTATAAAGTTGATCATTGGTGATTGCGGTAATCTTATCTCATGTTGCCTGGAGCTAGAAACACTTGCATGAAATTATTGATAATGCTCAGCGTGTTTTTGTTCATGGTTTTATTATTGGTAATGTTCAGTTTTTTTTTTTTTTGTTAATGGTTTTGGGTTTAGTTGGAGAGCAAATCTTAGCTTTTCTTTTTGGATAATCTAGTAGCTTGATGATGTATAATGTGTTGTGATTTTGTAGTTAGACAGGAGGAAATGCGTTGTTCCTTAGTTTGCAATTGAAATAACCTTCACCTTTGAATTTGCTATGTTTTTCAACTATCAGTAATATGTTCCTTAGACAGGAGTGAATGACTTTTGTTAATTCAGTAATATGTTTATGTAACTTGCATGTCATATTGTTGGAAAGTGTGGTCAGAATAGATAGTTTTCCACTTGCTGTGCTGCTCTGTTTTGTAAGCATGGGAGGATTTTAAGCGCATCGTTGAGCTTTAGTGTTGCTTGAGTCTCCAATGTAATAGTATTAATCATCCATTGGGGATTGATTGAAACTATTTGGAGGTAGTTGCCGGGCTTTTGTCATGATTTCATGATCCTGATATCATTGTGAGTTATATGATTAAAAGTGGGTACATTTATGACCTGAAATTAGCTACTGTTCCTTTGTGTATGAGAATTGAAACTGGCTACATCTGGGAAGAGGCATAGTTAGCATCAAATATGTCGAAGGGGATTTTTATCATAATGTGGCCATAAATTTTCCACATTTTGGATCAAACTTGTCTATACCAGTAAACTTTTAATGTTAGTGTGCCTTGAAAAACAATTTCTCTCCTGTCCCTTGCTATTGCTGTGTCAGATGTATGTGTTAAATAGATTTCTAGATCTCACATGCTAATATACTTCTTTTCATTTTCCTACTTCTATTTTCCAACTTGGTTCTTTATGGTTTTAAAAACCTTGAGGAATAAGTGGTAACTTCTTTCTTTCTTTCTTTCTTTTGCCTAGGACATGGATATGGAATCTATTGTGGAGACCATGATGCAACAACTTCTGTCTAAGGAGATCCTTCACGAACCCATGAAGGAAATTGGAGAAAGATATCCTAAGTGGTTGGAAGACCATAAAGCTAGTTTGAGCAAAGAAGACTATGAACGTTACTCCCACCAATATGAACTTATAAAACAGCTTAATGAAGTTTATGATAATGATTCTAGTAACTTCACCAAGATCGTTGATCTCATGCAGAAAATGCAAGAATGTGGCCAACCACCAAATGATATTGTTCAAGAGCTTGCCCCTGATTTAGATTTTTCTAGTCTTGGCCAATTGTAAGTGCTCTTCTTTTATTGTTAACAGCAATCAAAAACATTATTCATATGCAGTTTTCCAGCACACGTGTCCACCCATGTAGCACAATATTTCATAGTGTAGAAATAAGAAGACTGTTACATAAGCAAAACTATTTTGTTTATATTATACTAATTATTAGGAGTTGACTGTTTTAGCGTTACGAAGTAAATAAACTAATGAATGAAGTATATATATGGTCTTAATTTGAATGAGGAAACCGACTTTTCCTGAGCTTCAAATTCCCTTGGGCTTGGGTTGGGTGCTGCAGTAGAGCAGGTTGAGGGTAGGTTTTGTATCAGAGTAAGATATTGCTTATGAAAAAATTGGTAAGAATTGTGGTGGTTGAAAGGTTTATCCTTGAATTTGTGCTGCAAAAACTGCTAGACAAATATTTAAATGATATAATCGGCCACATATACTGGAGAACGCTTGCCCACAATTGCCTTTTCTGAGATGTTATTATCGGTTTCACTTTGGTGGTGGAAAATGTCTCTGACTTGTTTGGTTTAGGTACATTATCTCCAGATTTATGGCTAACCAGATCTCAATCTTGCAGGTCTCCCGAGGCACTCGACTCTCAGCCAAATTGTTGTATAATGTGAAGTAATTGTCCTGAAGTTGCTAGTCTCAGCTGGTGTTTCTCTTCATATTATGCCATAGATATTCTTTTAATATATTTTTGAGAAAATAAAGCAATATAACTTTGAATAGCAGTTCTTTTGTTATTCCACAACCTTGGAGAAGCGGGTGATGTTCTTGGGTTTTTAAGAATAGTTGCTTTCATCCAAGAGGGTCACAGTGATATATGTATGTTATCCCCGTTGAGTGCTTTTCCATGCTCCATTGCAAAAGGTTTTCTTCTGTTGATGTTTCATCTTAGCTAAATTAAAAATAAATAATCCCCTTGCTTTCATAGATAATTTAAGATACATAGGTATATGGCAGTATGTTAATTTCCATATATTCAGTACATCTCAAAGAATAAACAAATTATTTAGCTATGAATTTATGAAAGAACAAATGAATATAGTAATAGGAAAAAGTGGAGAAGAGAAGAGAAGATGGGCATGAACGTTGGACGGGCTAAGCTAAGCATCGGATAGTGCGATCCAGTGTCTGCCGTTGACAAAACTTTTCCTAATAAAAGGGTGGGCCGTCTTGAAGTCGAGCTCTCTAGCCCATGATACGCCTCTCACGTTTGCAGCACCCGGTCCCCAACATTTGTACACTCCGAAAAACGCCGTCCTGTATACGTATACATATTCAATCACAATTCACAAAATACAGAAATGAAAAGGAAGCCCCAGTCGTGTCGACACATAAAAAGTCAAAAAAGAAAAAAAGTAAAATTGTGACTTAATAATGCCATTTGCTCATCTCAGAACGTAGAAAGCTACCATAATCATAGTGATGTTTTTTTGCTGACTAATCGTTACTCCATCCATAGTGTGGACCAAAACCCAATACCCACATTGTAATTGATTAAAAAATAATTAATGTTCACGAATAATATATAGAGAATTCCAAAGATTCTATTACTTTAAATTTCAAAATGGGCTAATGTGCAGTTGTATTACTTGTTTTTGTTGCTGACGTGGTCCCAGTCATCCCAGCCACCATGAGCAACCAAGTCATCAAAGTAAGTGTATGAATATACGATCCTGGAGTATTGGCCCATGGCTCGACCTACGTAAAGTGGGCCTGTACCTGTAACTTTGCATCTTACAAATGCAAAACCCGTCTTCTCCTCCGGTGACTTTCTATCATGGGCCGCAATCGATCCAAATCTAGTGGCTATTGAGTGTAGCTCGCAGTCCTGTACCAATCAACATCCCATCAATCAAAATTATGCCTCCAATCCGTGCAAATGAGAAGATGACTGATGCTAACAACAAAAAGTTTGATATCTCAATCAAAATTGTGCAAGAAAAGCCAGCCATACCAATCACTTCCTTTTTATGTTTATCCTTTCTGAGTTTTTATTTAGGCAAGTTGGGTATGGAGCACCACTGATGCTGACACCAAAAGCTCTTTGTCTTTTTTCAACTTCGTATAGGAGACCAGAGACACAGAATTATGAAACATCCTTTTCATTCACCATGCTGCTCATCACATTAATTTATCTCAAAATCATGTCACTCGGTAGTCTTTATAGTCTTTATTTTCTTCCTAGCCTAATGTTCATTAAGAGGATAATGATAAATATTAGTGCATGCTCATCAACTTACTTTGTACATGGAGCGGCCATTCCCGAAAATGAAGTCTATAGAACCTTCAATATAACACTCTTTAAAGTAATGCCTGCCGGCATCGTCACAAAGGGTGTCTTGTGCACCAAAGAATCCACAGCAGGAGAAGTAGGCCTTGTCGCCTGATATCCGAAACGCCGCCGCTTGCCATCCTTGCATTCCTGGAAGTGGTGCTGGTGCTGTATTCTACACATTTTAACCATCAAATTAAATATATTATCGTAATTAGACAAGAAAATGCATGCTTATAGTTATACATTTAATTAATATATGATTCCGTTAAACAAATGGATGGCAGTGTGTACTTTCCATTCATGTTAGTTTCGTACCTTGAAGCTAATATTCCTCGCAGAGAAATAATTAGCAAAAACAGTAACAGAAGCTGTTTGATAAGTACGCAGCTGTTGGCCATCGGGCCCACGATCACATGCTCGATCATGCCATTCTATCACCGTCGATTCCCTCCCTGATCCTTGAAACGTTATGTACGGTTTTGTCACCGGCACGACCACTTTCTCTCTGCATATATCGCAAACCACACCATTATTATAATATCAATACGAGCGATTTCATCCATGAACCAACCGGTTAGCTTTTTTGTATAAAAACTTGTTTGGTTGTCAAAATTTGCATGCAAGAATGTAAATGATAACCAATTGATGCGTTCATAACATAAAGATTGAAAGTGACTTAGTGGGAGAGAATATTACATGTAATATCCAGCACTTATTTGAATAAGTACGCTCATTGTGTTATGTTCTGGGACAGAATCAACGGCATCTTGGACGGACTGGAACTGGCCGAACCCATGAACATCTACAGTGATCACACGGTGGCCGACGGGTCCGACCCACTTATGATGGTGCGTGGTTGAATTGGTGATGGAAGAAACAGTGGCAGTGACTGAGCTTGTAACTAGAAGAGAGAAGAAAGAAGAAGAAATGTAGGCGTAGAAGAACAATAAAGAAGATAGAGACGCCATAAAAATAGCATTACAATGATCAAAGAAGAGAATGATTAGAGAAAGAGATGGATACAGAGAATGTTTAGTAAGGTAAGGATTAGAGCATGACGGAATATATATAGCGGAAGTACATGAGACATTTATGAGTTGATTATGGAATGAAGAAATGAAATAATTTGGGTGATTGTAACGGTCATTTTTTTGTGTTCCCTCGCTACTACGGCCATAGGGCTATTTAGCTCTTGACTTCATTTGTTCACAAGTCTCCATGTGGGGGCAGTATTCTTTCGGCTTTACATTACTTTTCTAAGATACTTCCTCATCACTCTCTCAGCTTCAGTATTTTTCATATTTTTTTTCTTTTTTTTTTTATTTATGAAAAACATGCATGTTTAACTAAATATCATCGAGATTCATGTCATCAAATTAGATCCCAGAGGGTGAAGGGGGTAGGTTAAGGTGGAGTTGAGGAGGGAAACCCACCCAATTGATTTAATTTTAAGCCTTTTATGGTTCAAGTTAAACGGTAATGTTTGCAGCGTCCAGCAAGTGGTGGTGGTGGTGTGTGCTGTGCATGATCGATGATGGTCCAGGCATGGCTTAATAGTATTTTGTATTCTTGTGTTGTGTTTCATCTATTTCTGCTCCCAATCACTGGACCCCACTATTCTTTTTTTTTGAACGTTGGGAGTTGGGACTATGAAAAACCAAAGTTTCCCCGATTAGGGCAAGAGACAAAACTCTTGCTTAATCATTATTTTTTTATGATGTGCCACCCTTGTGACGTTTTCATCAGAATTTGTCTGTTATCATTTCACAGATTCTTGGTTGTCCTACCTGATTGCAGTAAAATCAGGGCCGTAGTTCCTGCCTCTTGGTGGGCCTTCGATCGGATCATGGACCGTCATCAACCCATGGTTACTGGGATGGAATAGTGTAGTTGGAGTTTTCTTTAGAGCGTTGTTGGTCTTCATGCTACTGTGGACTGTACACTCGTTTAAGAATCACGAGAAAGAAGCACTGGAGGCATAGGCATGGTGGGTCAGATCCATTGTTTTATGAGTGAGGGAACGACAATTCTCATCAGGGGCGTTCATAACCGGTTAACCAAATTGGTTAATCCTTTTTTTTTTTTTTTGATCGAATTGGTTTTCATAAATTCTTTTTAAACCAAAATCGAATTGATTAATATGTTTTGAACCGGTTAACTAATTTTATCTTTATTTTTTCTCTAATTTAACTTATTTTTTATTTTGAAAAGAAAGAGAAAAGTGAAAATTGGCAAAGATTGAAGAGAAATGTGTGTTTGTGTTAAAAAAAAAAAAAAATGGTAAAGGATGAAGAGCAAAGAGAAAATGATTTGGGGATTTAAGGTTTTTTAATTTTAAAGTGAAAACCGATTGGTTAGTCGATTTTAAAATTTCTTTAAACTGGTAATCCAATCGAATTTCTAGTTTATATATTTCTTTGAACCAAAACCGAATTTGTTATCGGTTCGATTCGATTTTTGCTTCTTTTTTTTTTAACACCCCTAATTCCCATCCAAGGTTGGGGGTAAGTAAGTTTTCCCACTTGAAAGGTTTCAAAAAAACAATTTTTCACCCACCATTAAGACTCATTAGTGAAATCCGTTAATTGACTTAATACAATCATACTATTTGACTTAATAATTTTTTTATTATTTTATGTCATATCAACATAGCCAATTACTTATATACCTACTCTTTAAATATAAAATTACTGATATGCCCTCAACTAAATTATCAGTTTATCCCTTCCCTTCCACCGTCGGCTCCACCTCTAACCTCACTCCCTCTCCCCAATTCCCACACCCACTTCCTTCATTTCCTCGCCCCAATCCCCATACTCATTTCCTCCACTTTCACTCTCCCATTGATCGAAACCGTCAATGGCCTTGTCAGGTTGCAATTGTGACCTTACGAGTAGTGATGGCAATGGGCCGGGCCGGGACCGGGTACCCCTTGGCCCAGACCCAAGCCCGACCTCATAACACAGGCCCAAGCCCATTACGGGTATGATAGGCAAAGCCCAAGCCCGGCCCAACGGATTTTTTATAACCGCAGGCCCGGCCCAAGCCCGCCTTTTTTAATAATGTTTATTTTTAAATTTTAATTTTTTTATATTTTTAATTTTAGAAATAGTTTTTAAATATTAATTGAAGCTATTTCCGCAAATAATTTGAGCAATAAGTGAGCAATTAAAACTCCATAATATTTTATTATACTAACTTTTCAGCTGTGCATAATATGTTATGGTGAAATCCACTTTTATAAGTTGAACCAAACCCATCTAACTCATTTAAAGGCAATTTTAACATGTTAAACCTTCAATATGGGATGAAAATTGAGGTTAGGGTTTGGGAAAAATAGATATATATATATATAAAATATTGTAATTAAATATATAGTATAAGGGTAAATTAGTAAAATTAATATTAAAATTTTTGGGGACGGGCCGGGCTTAAAGATATACCCATGCCTGGCCCGTACCCGAGGTCGGGCCTTAAAATCAAGCCCAAGCCCAAGCCCGCCAACCTCGGGTAAAGCCCGCCCCTTTCAGGCTGGGCCGGGCCGGGCCAGGCCGAGTACCCGAAAATGTCGGGCCCATTGCTATCTCTACTTACGAGGGCACTGTTGTGGCCATGATGGTTGCTAAGTAGGGCCACCATCACCAGTCCCTAAAGCCCCACCACACAAGCCAAACTTCAATTTTTCTCAACCCTAATCAATCATAAACAATCTTCAAACATCAAAGAATCAAATAGTTCAAAATCAAATTAAAAATAAAATAAAATCAAGCTTTGTTATTTATTCTTCTCGGTCAAACAAGTTTAACTCGGTTTGGCTGATGGATTTGTCTTCAAAACTTTTTATCATAGGTAGTTGGAGTACCAAACCGGTTCTCTTTCTACGGCAAGCGCCATCGCCTTTTTCACTCTGCATTTGACCTCTTCCCCACTACATGCTTTGATACTTCTTTTTTGTTTATTTGACTTGGTTCCAGCGTCGGTGGTCCTACAAGGGTTTACTTTACCATACCATTGCATCACGATGTTTAACCACCACGCGCTCCATCACCCCTACCAACCATCGTGTTCTTCACCAGTCCTTAGAGTCCCACCCTACTAGCCTCCATATTTTTTGCAACAACATTTGTCGTTGACAATAGAATCGCACCAAGCCAAGTGCGATTTGGTTAGAATCACACTTAGGCCGATGCGATTTTGTCAAAATACCCACATCAATACCCATATTCAACACGTTTGGTCCCTACCATCAACAACAATAATATTTTCACAATGAACCGCAAAAAATAGAAAAGCATTCAACACTTCCTAGGGGTGTTCAAAAAAATGCAAAAACCGAACCGAAAAAACGGTTCGGTTACGGTTCGAAATATTCAAAAAACCGAATTTCCGGTTCGGTTACTAGTTCGGGAAAAAATAAAAAGCGGTTAACCGAAACCGGTTTTTTGAACCGGTTTTACAAATATATATATATTAAATAAAAACAAATATTATATATTAAATAAAAAAAATATTATATTATATATTAAATAAAATAATAATAATATTTTTAATGTATTGTTAGTAGTGGTCAATGGATATGTATGAATATTTAATTTTTATTTGGATATGTAAATAATTATAATTTAATTTAGGAAAAAATAAAAATAAAAAGTTTTATAAAAAAAAAGGGAAAACCAGTTCGATTTCGGTTCGGGAATTTTTCCGAACCGAAAAACCAGTTCGGTTAAAAAAAATGGTTAACCGGTTCGGTTAACAGCTTTTGAACACCCCTAGCACTTCCAATCAAAAAATTAGTATACCCATTCCACTCTAAACAACAGACAGCAAAAAAATAAAAAAATAAAAGGAAAGGTAGAGACAAGGATTTAGGATTGGATTGTGACGGTAGGGGGAGTTAGATTAGGTTAGACTGGGTGAGGTTAGGAATCAATGCTTGTGGGGGGTAGGAGAGGTGGGGAGGCTGAAGGGAGGAGACATGGAGGATTTTCGGGCAGTAAGGTGGGGAAGATAAAAAGGGTTAGGGAATTTTTTCTATTTTATAAAATTTGATGTTTTTAATAAAAATAAATTAAATTTACCATTTTGTCCTTCAATTAAGGTTAACGAACGAATCTTAATGATAGGTGAAAAATTGTTTTTTTCAAACCTTTAGGGATTGGGGTGGGAAAACTTACTTACGCGTTACGCCTAACCTTGGGTGGGAAATTGTGGTTTTCTCTTTATGAGTATATTATTGGCACTTTATTACAATGTTTTAAAAACTGACCCAAGGCAAAACCCGACAAGTTGGCCGGGTCCCAGGTCAACCGGTTGAACCGAGTCAATTGGTCGGGTCAACCATGATGTCATCATAGTGACATCAAGGAAAAAAAAAAACAGATTTCAAAATTTAAGTTCCCTGAGAGAAATTCATTAACAAAACATAAAGTAACATCAATATAATCCATGTTACAACTGATTTAAGGTTCAAAATTCATAAAGAAATCACATAATAATTAATAGTTTAATACACATTTTAGCAAAACATGGTCTTCTTAACCCCATGATCTTCATTCTTCAATCCATCCTCAATTCACCATATGTTAGGTCACATATCATTATCATCATTATCAACATCATCAACACCATCTACAAAAAATTTCATCAAAAAATGAAAACCATAAGTTAAAACTTCTCATTTTAAAGTTTAAACTAATTGAATTTAAACTAGCTACCAAATTCAAATTGCTTTTTAACACACCAGCCAAGCAAAACCAAAAACCCAGAAACCCTTAGCCCACACTAGCAGGGACTGCAGCAACCAAAAACACACCGGCCAAGCAAATATCTAGCACGAAAGAGGGGACTACAGCAGCCATAGACCCCATAAGCAGAAGAAGTTAAAACAAATTAGTTTGTTTGCTTCTTATTTGCTTTTACCTTAAGGCCCATTATAAAGCGCATTCTAAAGCATTATGATACAGGCTTATAGCAGAACTTTTTACAAACCACAGCATTTGTTGCCAAAAGAGATATCCAGATAAACACAAGCATAATCAACAGTCAACGCCTCTATTCATTTACTTCGAACCAAAAACACAAAACCTAGTCAAGTTCTCAAAAGAAAGGAAGAGATCGACAGACCAGAGAAGATGAACTGGAGCTGGCGACGAAGATGAGCTGCTGCTGAGGATGAAAGCAAGCCTCCACCTCTGATGAAACAAGGCTGCCGAAGATGAGCTACTGTCGTTGAAGGAGGAAATCGATGAGAGATGAAATGCAGAAGTTAAAGAGAGATGAAAGCATTGAAAGGAAAAGATGACGGTACCTGGCAAAGATGAGCTACAGCTGACGACGAAGAGTAGGAGATCAACGGTGAAGAGAGGAAATCAGGCATCTAGGAGTCACGGTGGAAGATTTTCCAAGCAAAATGTTGAAGGGAAACAGTGTAAAATGGGTGAAAATCGCTGGAATTTGGGAGGAGAACGATGGTGAAGAGACGAAATCGGGCAAATGGGAGTCACGGTGGAAGATTTTCAGAGGAAAATGTCAAAGGGAAACGCTGAAAATTGGGTGAAAATGCTGCAATTTGGGTTTAGGGAATAAAAGGGTTTTTTTTTTAAGTTGACCCAGTCTATTGAAAAAAACGGTTAGACCAACGAGTCGATACAGTGCCTCCGGTCCAACCACGGGCTGAACTGGATGAATTAAAATCCTCGATTCTTTGCATCAACCGGGCCGGCTCACCGACCGGGTCCCTGTCGAACCGGTTCGACCGACCGGTCGAAGCCAGGTTTTAAAACATTGCTTTATTAATAGAGTAAAGGAACTTTCACTTTTTAATAAATATTATAATAATAAATATCTCTATATTAAATTATTAAAGTTAGTTTTAATTTTTTATTCTTTACATATACTTTTAACATCCTATTATTATCTCTGAATTCTTTTCTTTGTATTATACTATTCAAATCATTCTTAGAACAAAACAAATAACTTCATGTAGTAAAAAAAATGTGCAATAAGATATATTAAGTTACAATTAATCTACTAGATTATGTCTTTAAGATTATATGTTTAATTAAATTAACAAACCTAAATGGTTTAAAAATAATTGAATAAAATAGAATAGAATTTTCAGAATAAGAAAACAAATACGTATTTTGGATAGAATAAGAATAAGATAGTGCAGAAATATTAAAACAAACGACTACTTTTAAAGTTTTAGTAGTGAAATGTGAATAACTCCACTCTTGTTTTATATTTTTATCGGGCCCAGCCCAACTTGAACGCTCTATAATTTAAAAGAGAAGCATACACTTTATGAGATATATATTTCACACACCAATCCATCATTAATCCAATTACCTGTTTTGTAATAAAAACAAGTTATATGCATTCAGCATAATAGTGGTTGCAATGAAAAGCATTTGGATGATTAATGAAGCAATGTGTATGATTATATGGCTACTGTTCTAAATGAAGTGAGCTGAGCATCCGCTCTTCTAAAATGTATCAACTGTTGTTAAAAAAAAAAAAAAGATTATACAAGACGCAGGAAAGCCCATGCAGAATCAAACTAGCCCATAACCTTCACCCACACCAAAAAATAAAGCAGCTTCAAAATCTTTCAATCAAGAAGGCTTGCTCCTCAGTACAACTTGTTAAATCCAGGAGGCGGTGTAGATTCTCCCAATCTTGGGAAAAATGCTTCCCTTTCAAGCGACACTTGTAGACATGCCATAATCTTAACAAACGAAACCCAAACAATTGGTGAGCTGCAGAAAGCGTAGCCAAATATAGCTAAACCTCTTACAATACCGTTTGAGTACCAAGGAAATGCCATGACCAAAAGTGAGCCAAATATCAACAGCAATGGTGACAGAACTGGAAGCATTGGCAAGAAAAATGAATTGATTGCTATAGAGGAAAGTGCAAATGTGCCTATTAAATATAATGACCAGCCTAGTAATGTATGGACGGTTGTAGGTACAAGAAAGAAGGGTACTATGTACGCAGCAAGAATCGACCATATCGCTACTAATTTCAGGCCTGCTTGTATCAACGAGACACTCCTGTCTATCCGTCGATAGCAGAGCTTAGGGATGTTAGGCCGTGCCAGACGTGTCACTGTTATTATTCCCAAATAAATTACTGTTTGAATAAGCACCATTGGCATCTCCGCACCATACCTGTAAAATTTTAGCTATGCTATGTTATGTGATGGACTAAAGACGGGAGTGAACAAAAAGTGTATGTGTTACATTTTGGAAATAAATATATGAAAGTGCATGCTTGACTTACCCGAGAGTTTGAAGGCGAGTGTTATGCCATGAAATGCCTAATGGAAAGACAGGATATGACCACCAATACCATGGCTTCAACCATGGTGCACCAGGAAATGTAATTACACTATTTGGCCCGCAGGGTACGTTCCATCGCAATCTAAGATCTGGAACATGATTTTGATATACTCACATTTAGTTTAGGACAAAATGTAGTGCAAAAGTTCACAAGCAAAAGTATATAGTTCAAAGAATATAAATCTGACAAACTATATCTGTTTTACTTACAGTAATATGTGGCATCCATTTGATAACCCAAAGGAAGCCTATAGTGTCCATTAAGCTTGGTAGCATTGGGGGGAGGATGGAACATTGGCTGATCAAGCAAGTCAGGGAAATAGCCACTAATAAAACCCTGGTCTGCACCATCTGGATTTTCCCTCCCAATTTCCAGTTCATGAACCATATCCTTGAACACCTCCTTTGATGGCTGCAATTTCGTATTAATAGAAATTACACATTAAAAACAGTAGAAATGGTTTGTCTTTAAGATAATAAATTAATGATTAACTTCAAAGAAGCTGTTAAGGGAAACAGAAGAAACTGAATTTACCTTCAATACAAAGAGGCCTGTATGGAAGATACAAGGGTTAATGAAAACAGCACAAAACTGTCCACATTGGAACAATTCATCAGTATTCTGAAGAAAGAGGTTATCAGAATCAAGCATGACCACCCTGTCATAATCCACTAGATTCCAGGCATAGAGTTTGTTCAGTGTCAACTTGAATCTCTTGTCAAAATGCTTATATGGATTATTAAGGTTCTCCACTCTCACCACCTTTGCTCCATCTTCCTGTTCCCTAGACCACAAAACAAAAATTGGTCACCCCCAATTCTATCCTATTATTGGTAAGATTGTCAACGTATCAAATTCTATTAACATAAACAGATACAATAAAGTTTTCTCAGGATTAATATTAAGCAATCTGGGCAAGAACCCTCAATCTGAGACTATATATTAAGCCTTTTGCTTTAATAGATTATGGTTATGGAGATAGAAACCAACAAAGACTTGGGATGTTAAATTAACTTGACATCTACATATAAAGTGGATGGAGGCCAGCAAATTTAATTCGCTATATATACATCTTATTCCAATTGTTTGTGATTTTGACAATGCACAAGAACAACGTAAATATCTACCAAATTATAGGAGTTGGCAAATAGAGAAAGGCATTGCAGTTCATGCTTTACAAGTGGTGGGCTCTGGTGAGACAAAAGCTAATCCATCTCATATGATAAATCGACAATTTCCATTATTGAAAAATAACAGAAACAAACACACGGCACCCACGTGCTTTCCTCAACGACTACAATATCTACCAGTTTCTATAAACAGCCGTTGTAGACTATGGTCGTTGCTTTAGCAAATGCCAAACAGCACACGGCCACTAGCCTGCCTGGCTAGACACGAAACTCGAAACGTAAAGGGCACCTTTAAGCTAAAACAGTAAAACCCACTACAGAAAATTACTAGGAGGTTTTTTTAACTTAACCTACTCCCTCTAACGTCAAATGGGACGCCATAGACCTGAGGAAAATTTCTCCCCACCACTGACATGTGGTAAGTTAATAGAGTCAACTATATAATTTGACCCAGAAATATACTGACACATCCAAAATAAGATTAAACTACACATGGGCACCGTATATATGGACATAAAAAAATCAATAGTAAGTAAAACCAAAATATCATTCTATGAAAATCGTGCCAAAAAGATGCGAATAGTTGAAAACTAAGGAAATTAAGAAAGCAATTTTTATCCCAAATATAATCGACCAGATGACCATAAGATATTTCCAACATCCTAAATCGGCAGTCTGAAAAACGTTTTTAATAAATTGAAAAACTTTTGGGTTCGAGATGGACCAGGGCAGCCCACCACTTTTATTTTACTCCATGACAAAGAAACGAGAACATCGCACTAGATACCACAAACCACAAACAAGCCAGAACTTTTGAAATGGCTTAAAAAGATTAATCAATTAAATTATAAATTTTAAATAAGAGCAAAAACAAAGCATACAAATGTTAATGGTAAATAAGTGATGACAATTAATTATTATATATTTTAGGAATACAAGATAATGATCCAATCTTTATCGTAAAAATAATGACATATTTGTCTCTATTGATTAACAAAGAAAAAAAAGGGTCCAACAAAGTTGCATTGTGGACGACACATGGATTTCACTATCCCGGTAGCGTCACCTAGACACGTCCATAAAGTCTCTTTATGTGCCAATATTTAAAAACCCAAATACATCGAAGAAACCAAGAACTCAACCACCATTCGCAACTCACGAGAACAAGGCTGTTTGGCTTTGAAATTAACCAAACTTTCTTTACTTCTACAATACACCAAAACTCTATCGATTATATCGTCAATTGGACCGATCCTACACTCTGTCTCAACATAAAAACTATCTCCAATGTCAATGAAGAATCAAGAATTATTGATTCACATGTCATTTAAAGCTTCTAGCTACCAGCATATTGAGGGAAGAGGATAAGCCCAAGAGACTTTTTCTTTCTTTCAAAAGGGCAATCAGTGATTTAAAAGTTTTAATGTCTGAGATCATAATTAAATAATAGGAAAGTTGGAATGGAGAGAGACTCCATTAATAGGTTAATAAGACAGGCCGGCGAGAAAGGGCCGCAAGTGACACTGACAAGTCATAAGAACAATTAATTTACTGGTTAATTATTTGACAATATTAAAATGAATTTGGACTTAGTCGTTTCATGCTCTTAACATCACCTAATTCTAACCCCTATTGCCTATTGTATTGACTCAGTAAATTTTACGCCAGGGTCCACCGCAAAAATTACCAAACGAAAATAAAATAAAAATAAAAATTTTACAAGAACGAAGAAAGCAATATTGTTTGGGAGACTTACAGAGCTTGAACCCATCGGGGAGGAACGTCGACGGAGGCAATGACAACAAGATCAGCGTCCACGTGGAGTCTAGCTAGCGATCTGATCAGGACACGTGTGGCCACGTAGAATTCGTAGTCCCTTGGCGTACCCATGTACATCATGGTGGCGTACGCGTTCTTGTGCGGCAGTCGTATTTGCTGGCTCAGTTCATGCGCCGTCGTCGTCGCCGTCGTGGTTGCAAGAAACGCCAAAAACAAGAAGAAAACCCTCATAAATGTTGACCAAAAAGCGCTTTTTGGCTTCTCTCTCCAAGCCATTCCTTCTCTCCTCACGGTTTCGACCATTAAAAAATCAGAAAACGAAAGAAAATAAATAGGAATCAATAAGCATTAAAGGCACTTGTCTTCCCTCTTTATGGCGGTGCGAGCTTATCTTATCAAAGAAAGAGGTTGAAAGAAGGATTTTGTTTTTTGGCAATTAGCAATTAGCAATGGAGGGAGGTGTTTTGTAAGAGAATTATATATATATTGGATTTTCTTATTTTATAAATTATAATTTTAAATCTTAGCTAACCCTTCTCAATATCTGAGCCGTTGATAGAAGACGCGGGATTGTATATTGTAACGGCTGTGAATGAAGGCGTGGATTCATCAACGGTCAATTTTGTCTGGTGTGATGACGTGACGACAAACTACAGTAAATATTATAGGATATTTATTTTGGGTAAAGAAGTGCATAAAGTAGGATGGGGATTTCAGCGATGGGAAAAAAGTTAGGTTGAATGGAAGTAGTACTTGGAGACTTTGTAACATTTGTTAATTTGTCTTTGTGCGTTTCTTTTTCCTTTCTGTAATTATCAAAAATTTTAAATATATAATCAGTTTTTATTACACATCCCACCGGCTTAGCTAAGACTTTCCAAGAAAGTTGCCACCTGTAACGTGTCAAGAAATTCAAAGGACGAACCCCTGCAAGCCTCTAACATTGCGCAATCAAAGTTCAATAATATTTTTAATATATATTATCAATTTTGTCTAATTACTAATTAGGTTATGCTAGATTGTCCAGTCTGCTCAATGCTCATAGTAGGCATTGATACTTTACTTTAAAATAAAGAAATATTAATATGTTTTTAGCGTATAACATGTGACGCTTAGAATAAATATTACTTATTGTATTATAGATTTATTATGTAATAAACATTTTATGAATTGAGATAATTAAGGTAAAACTTAAATATGATCTTTTTGTTTTTGACTCATTTCTACATTGTTTGAACTTTATTATTTTATTTTTAAAATATAATATTTTAATAAATACAACCTTACCATTGATTACAAAAAGATATTAATACTCCTCTAATATGAATTCATGTATGCAACGTTTGGCCCATTTACAACACATTTATTTTAATAATATCTCTGATAAATATTATATACTTAAATATTACTTTTTTTAAATATGCTTTTGTAAAATGTCAAATAAGTGCTCAAATTATTCAAATATATATTGAATGGCTCGGCTCCTCAACCGCAAACGAATAATTAATTACTTTCATTATGTTAAATAAGGTACATTTGGAGGCCTTTGATCATTTAAAGTCCATAATACAATCATTTAAAATTAATAATATTGTGGTTGTATGATTTGAATGGTAAAAAATTGACAATATCATTAGGAGAGAAAGCCAGCTGTCTTTGTTCGTTCTTACAAGAGAGTGAAAAGTGAAGACCCTTTCTAAGTTGGAATAAATAAAATAATAGTAATATTCAATGTAAAAGTTTGGTATTGATTCTCTTTATCTATGTAAATAAATTTGTCTTCATTTATTCCTTAAAAACTTTCCAATGCTCTATACTTTTCTTCAAATGTATTTTTCCATGTACCCGTATTTTTTATTTTAAATTTCATTAATCACCCTTTAATAATGTAATAGATGTGTATTGTTATTTTTCAAATTTTTTTCTAGTAAATTTCACAATTTATATTAGAAAAATTCGATGCATACATAATAATAATTTTATATTTATATTTATACAATTTGCAGTGCAAATCATGAACATAGATGATATGTAGTATTCATAATTGTATATACATCAAAATATTATATAAATATTTATAGTTTGTAAATAAATATATAAATAAAACTTGATACCTACCATCTAACATATCCACAAACTTCTTACACAAACTAAGTCATAGAAAGTGATGTGTTATAATATAATTAAATGGGTTAAAAATTAATTATAAATTAATTGGTAAGAAATAATTTGTATGATTAATTAGTATATATACACAGTATCAATATGTAACAAATCTCACCTTACTTGGTATAATAATTAAAAATTTCATTTTTATTTATATAAACAGTTTCAGTTTGATAAAAGAAGCAAAAAATTAAGAATTGAAGATAATTTTGAGGCTTTTAATTTTTTTTTTTTTTTAATAATCGAGTTGTCTATACCAGTTTGGACACGCCCTAATTAATCTCTAAAGTTCATTGAACACTCTACAAATCTAATAGATCAAATAAGGTAAGTCACAGACGTAGTGGGTGTTGTCTGACCAAGGCTAGTCATTAGGCTTTTAGAGTTTAGATTTCGGGTAATTTAAAAACATTAACTTTTATCTTTTTTGAAGTTCATATCCATTTGAATCAGTTGGTTCATGTTGAGGTTGAATTGGGTTCATCAGTAGCCTTAATTTATGATATATAATATTGGTGAAAACTATAGAACTTGTTGGCTTCGTTTGGCTCACATTTGGGAATACTACTATTAGTATTCCCAATAAAGTTAAACAATAAAATTATAAAAACTCACAATATTATTCAACTTTTTTTAAATCCCCTAAATTTGTTAATTTAATTAAATACATCTAAATATTTTTTTAAAAATTACAAAAAAACCCCAGTAACCCATATTTACTAGATTCTGGCCACCACCGCTGAAAAATGGCCGGAATCTAATATAATGGCGCACTACCGACTGAATCTGGCCGATAGTGCGTCGATATAGCCTTTTCCGATCAGATCTAAGGCCGTAGTCAGTCGTCAACGACAGTCGTATCTTTGGCCGTCGTTGACGAGCAAATACAGCTAGATCTGGCCGTCAATGGCCAAATCTAGCCGTAGATCTGGTTTTTGCCGGCTAGATCCACCGTGGATCTGACTGGAAAAGATCATATCGGCGTAAGACCGGCAAGATCTAGTTGATCATGCACCGATACGATGACTCTGGCCACCCTCCGACAGTGGTGGCCGGTTATCCATATTTAATGGATGGGTTAGGGGTGTTTTTGTTAACTTTTAATATTTTATTATAAGAGTGTTTAGTAAATAAACAAATATAGAGGATATTTTTATTTATTTTTTAAATCTTATATCATAATACTCGCCTAATTTAATTTTTTTAACTTTTTTTCAAAATTTTTTCTAAAAAATGTAATAAAGTGAACCAAACAAAACTATTATTTTTTATGGTCCCAGTGAACAAAGAAATTAATGAACTATTAAAAGTTATCTCTTCTTAATTTTAATTGCTGAAAACTGACGTGGCGTCAGTCAAGAGATGGTGGTCAATGCAAACCAACAAATTAATTATACAATACAATTCATTTAACCCTTCAAGTATCTAAAAGGATTTTTATTTCTATTTTTCACCTTTTTAAATAAATCATGTAAGGATAAAGACACAATGAAATTAAGTATGATGAAACAAAATGGACCACCAGATACATATATAAAAAGTGTCTAGGCAATTAATAAAAGTACCGAGTAGTCGGTTTTTGGTTTCGTAGATGGCAGACCATGGTTATGAAACGATAAGGGATCAAGTGTACCACATTGGATATTCTTTGTACTTTTCTTCTTCTCTCATCAACCAACAAGATTAGATCAGGATTTAAAAAAAAGGAATGACTTTCACATACCTAAAGTTCACTGTAAAGATAAAATGATATCTAAATAGTTTAAAAATGATAAATATCATTTTTTATAAAGAATTTTTATCTGTTAAAAGATAAAAATGGTAAAACAACTAGAATACTCATTGATCTCTATTCTCAACGTGTGCTAGCAAGCAAGGGTTAGTACCACTGTTTATCACTGAAATTCACAGAAAAATGCTAAATCCGATAAAAAAATCAATCAATGATATAAAAAGACTGTGCGAACATGATGAGAATGAAATTATTATATTATTTTTTAATAGATAAAAATTTAAATAAAATATAACAGAAAGTTTTATTTACCATTTTTAAACTTTTTAGATATTAATCTATTTTTATACCAAAATTTGAGTAGTTGGAAGTCGATCGGCCTTTAAAAACAAGGAACATTATAAAGAAATAGTAAAGGATATTTTCTACTATTATTCAAAAGTTGCGCAGCGTGTCAAGCAACCGCCCAGCTGCTTCGGCACACCCAAGAAAACTAGTATGTATATATTTATATTTTATATTTTTTATAAATAAATGTCGTGGAGATTGATGGAGACAGGCAAGTGGATAGATATTATTGCATTATGAAGATTCCACCGGCCGCGAAATGCTATTAATAAGAGTCAACACCTTGTGCAATTCCAAGCGGTTAACATTGGGCAAGCAAGATTATTATTAAACATGATAGTTAATCCGTGGTTTGCTCTTACAAGGCCTACATGGTTATATTTAATTCCATTAGTGAAAGAAGGAGGGGGATGAGGATGAAGCAGCAAATCTGGAATGGATGTTGTCAAAAGGAAGACCGAGGAAACAGTCTGATTTGAATTCCGTTCGTTATCGAGTGGTCATAGTTGGCAGGAGTGACGCAGGCGGCAGGACGCGTTGAGTCAATTTCAATTTGAGTCTTTAGACACGGGTGTATCGACTTATGTTTAAACTTTAAACCATCATAAGCTGCCACTCCATGGATCTTCTTCTTATTGACCCGCTCCGGATGCCCCATTCTAGACTCTTTTTATGGTCTACACACGGAAGACTTCACAACCAAGGCGCCTGGAAAAAATATTATATGCCAGACTACAAAACCGACAGCGTCAACATAATATCAAACACTTGTACTAATTTCGACGTAATAATTTTACACATCTCATATATATATAATCTTAATTTTATGACATAAATTGATAGAATAAGTTATTAATAATAACATATAAATTAATATATCAAGATAAAATATTTAAATTCCCTTTTGAGACATTACAACTCGACCTTGAACAAAGCAAATACTTTGTTATTGATATATTTCGTATGAATGACAGATATACTTGATTAAAATTATGTGTTTCAGGACAACTTATAGGGTAATGATATGTGATTAGAAAGTTGAAGAAGGATTACGTTATGAAAAAGAACTCCAATGATATCTAATCAGAAAATATATTAGGTATTGTCGATAATCTTTAATTTTTATTATTTTTATTATGACTCAAGAAATATGACTGTGTTTGTTTTATTATTTTTAGTAGTATTTTTAAAAGAGCGGAGTTAGGTTGTTATTATGAGGT